GTGTAGTGTGTGTGTGTGTGTGTGTGTGTGTGTGTGTGTGTAAATCTATCTATCCATCTGTTTATGTATGTATGGAATATAAGTATCTATTTATCAGTTATCAGATATCTAATATTTTTTATTTATCAGTTATCAGATATCTAATATCTGATATCTATCCATCTGTCCGTTTTTTAATCTATCTACCTTAAACCCACTGGATTTGGGGGATTTGATTCAATCCATACACTAGAGAAATTACTGAGAACATTTAGTTTTATTTTGCAAATATATTTCTGAGCACCCCCGTCAGTGTCACTACACACCTTCGGGGAGTTTGATGAAGTCAGTCTACTATAAACTTTCACTGATGATAGCATGACATTAAATACTTGTGTTTCCACACACAAGTCGTGCCAAAAATCAACACCTATGGAGACTTTGACCAAATTAATCTACTAAAAATACTCAATGTTAGTTTGTGATTCGAACTCACAACGGTCATTCTTACACGCGATTACGCTCATGCCAAGACCAAACAACTTTAGGGAACCAGGTTCTGTGTTGCGCCACGTGTTTGCACCATCACAGCCTACGCCCCAACTCACACGTCAAATTTCACTGTGAACTAATGAATATGTTTCTGACGCGTGCCCATAGGCATCTGCCTTGCACCCGTATGTGTATTGTAGACTTGCTTGTGGTGCGTGCTTGTGGTTGTACGGTGATCTTCTAGTACTCGGCAGCTGGGTGCGACAAAGCTATGCCCCGGGTTTATCCAATGATGTGTAGGCGGGATCTTAACAATATGAACAGCGGAGTCACTGTACAGACTTGTGGCTCTGACTGTATATAGAAACTAGGACTGCACAATGCCTTCCCTGTCTCAACAGGCCATTTAATTAGTGTGTGGTCACTTCGGCCAACTGCAGGAGCAAACCAATGCGGAAGAGATGCAATATCTGGATATGGTACGGAATATAATCGCCAACGGTGCACTAAGAGGCGATCGCACAGGAACTGGTACCCTTTCCAGTATGTAAAATATCGGAAGAGTTGTGTAGGACGGATTTAGTTCCATATGATAATTTACTGCATCGCATGGTTTTCGGTAAAAGGCGCTCTCAGAGGCAAAATCAATGCTCAGCAACTGGAATGGCAATTTTTTCCAGCCACATTGTTGGAACAAAATTATCATATCTGGATCGAGTTTTTGGACTGTTAGAATTGTGTATGTGGTCGCGTAGGCGTTCACTTCATGGTGTGTTTCAATTTGAGTTTTCCAATGCACTAATCGAGGCATATCTATTCTCCCTGCGCCTGCGTACACACAGTCTTCGGGGCACAGATGAGATACTCGTGTAGAGATGGGGCGTTCCCATTGCTTACCACTAAGCGCGTGTTCTGGAGGGGAGTGGCTGAGGAACTGCTATGGTTTGTCAGCGGCGACACCAATGCGAAGACTCTGCAAGACAAGGTACGCGCTGAAATAATCCACAATTGATTCGCTTGTGCACCAGAACAAAGGCGATTATATTATAGCTTTAGCCGTAGTTTCATGATTCACGCTTGTGAAGAATACCCAGTCAATGATTGTAGTCTTGGGCTGTCTACCCAGTTAACCATTTATATATCAGTGTTTAAGCTTGTCTGTTGGGAGAGGTTTTTAATTATCAAACGTTTTATCTGTTACAGAATATTCACATCTGGGATGGGAATGCGTCCCGCGATTTTCTGGATAAACGGGGTCTGGCGCATAGAGAGGTATGTAATGTGAATACGGTGAAGTGGCAATACAACTCGATTTTAGCCAAACATATCCCGCACGCTTGCAGCAAGCGGTCGCATACGCTTCTTCACTGGAAATTCTGAGTCACCGAAGATAGTATAAGTATATTTTGATGCTGTATCCTCCCTGCATATCTCGCACAATTTTAGTAATCCGTTGCACAAGCCTACACGCAAGAAAGTCACCGTTTCCCAAGATAATATAGCGTAGCGCAGCAGTGCGTGTGTGGGGCCATAATCGTGTTCTTTGCTTTCTATGCCTTTGAGTATTTGTTGTGTGCGGTCGTCGGTCGACCGCTCGTGTGCGAGTGCATGTTTATTCGTAAGCGATCCGGATTGATGGTTGGCAGCCGAGTATCTCTCAAGACACCAATTTATAAAGACACAGTCAAAAACTGGAAATAATATACATTAATGTAGTAGCATATGTATGTGGCCGTGACCGTGTGCTTTTTGTGTGCGATCTTGGTCGATCACTCCTGTGCGAGTGGATGTATATCCGTAAACGATTCGTCTCAATGGATGGCAGCCGAGTAAAGTGTCAGATGTGATCATAGATGCTACCTCGGATTGATTTTGATAGTATGTTTGAGAGCAACATGGAAGTCTCCTGCCCACATGACGTTAAGATTAATTTGAGAATATCGAGGTGTATAGAAGCACACCCTGGGACACTATTGCTCACATTCCAGAGGTAAGCAAATATCCTTCGCTTGTGGCTGATGGGCCCTATTCATACGTATTGTAGCATCAGCACTGTACACGCATTGATTGCGAGCACCCAAGAAAATATGACATTCAAGGCACTGTTGTCTCAACGCATAAGAAAAAAATCCTCTACTTACCTTTACTCAAAGTGTACTTATCTGAATAACTGCTGTACCTGTAGGTTGGTGATCTGGGGCCCGTCTACGGCTTTCAATGGCGACACTTTGGCGCCGGCTACGTTGACATGCATACGGACTACACAGGGAAGGGCAAAGATCAATTGGCAGATGTGATCCACAAGATTAAACATACACCGAATGACCGTAGGATAATCATCAGTGCCTGGAACCCATGCGGTACGGTAGCGTATTTGGGCATTGCGTTGAAGCACGAGCTGATTGGGTTAGGGATTTCGGGTTTTTAGTGTGATTGTGGAGTATGCTAAGCCTTACAACTACTATTTGTAGAGAATCATGTGTGTGTATTTAGGCTCTTATTCGTGTTTTTGTCATTCTCCCTTTTTTTTGGTACATAGTTTGAAATGGTCCCCTGTGCACTTCTCATTGCTCGCAGAATCAGGCTATGAAAACACGCATCAAAAAGACACATGTCTGTCGATTCAAACACCCTTCATGTAGTAAATTCTCTAATGTTAATTGCAGATTGTAATTCCAGACATCTAATAGTTCACTGTTGTATATTGCTGATCTGTACAGTTTATGTGTCAGACATGTTGATTCACATTCTCATCCATAAGTAGACCATTTGACCCGTGCGAAAGCTTTTCGCATACTAATCCACAGTATTAATCGCTCCCGTCCATGGTAGACCTGGATGATATGGCGCTGCCACCGTGCCATCTGATGTGCCAATTCTTTGTGGCCAATGGAGAGCTCTCATTGCAGATGTATCAGGTAACTACAGGGTTAAGATTCACGGTTTTTAGTTTACGGTTTATGTTTCGACATATGTTGTGGATGTGGTATACATCTTTCGATACCCGTGTATGGCTTTGGTATTGATCTTATCATGGCGTCTATTGTTTTCGAGATTGACACCTTGCTTCGTGTTTGTTGCGTTGTTGAATGCGTTTTACTTCTTCGGTGTCGCGTATTGTTCAGCGATAGAGATGTGTTCCTATTAGCAGTGCAGCCTTGTACACTTGCGGCTAGCTTTAGCCTGGGGTATACTTGTTGCGTAGCAGTCTGGTTTTAATAGACTGTGGTGCACTTTAAAATAGTTATCACAATCCCACGCAGATAATTAAATATGGCGCGAATGGTGCGGTTCGTTTCAAAGGCCACACCCAATATCTCACCGCTCAATTTTTCGAAGAAAGAAAGTTGAATGCCAATGTGTATTTTATGACTATACAAACTTGGTTGCTGCAACGTATTGTATTAATGTGGTCGCCAGTATGTAACGTACCCGACAGCAACTTCTGACACAAGACCATACATTAGTTAAGGGGTTTTTTATTTGTACAATTACGTAGATATGCAGTTTTTTCCCGTGTTTCTCAAGGTCAATTCTGATATGTGCAATTTGCCTATTGTTACCGTCTCGCGGAAATGGGTGAATATCTGTATATTTACCAATTGCAATCAGAGGAGAAAATCCTCTCTGTTTAACAACGTATTGTATTAGGCGTGTGTATGCCGTTTTATTTTGCGGTTTCCAGTTTTATTTTGCGGTTTCCAAGGTAAATTAGGATATGCCCATCTTGCCCAATGCTGCCGTAGATCCGATGTACACATCCTACCGTGTGGTACATTTACAAATTGCAATTTTAAACAGGGACTTAGGTATTTTTTTTCTGTTTAGTTCCAAATTACAAATTGACTGATGAAATCATAACCGTCCCTCAAGTCAGGTTATATGTAGCAGTAGAGGTCTTGCTGACGTAATGTAGCCATGCTGAAATACCGCGCAACTTTCAATAGATTTGTACTACCCTCTCTTAAGTGAAGTCTTAAGTAGAAGGGAGGGTATCGCTCGTAACATCTTCGTTGTTTTATGTGACTTTGTTGTAGCAGGTATTATCCAGATTGGCGCGTGTGTACACTGTAGTTATGGCTGTGCTCTGTCACGCGGGATCTATTTAACAATATAAATCGAGAGAATTGGTTTAACTATATTGATCGAGTGTGTCATGTTATTTCAAGTTTATCAACCGAGGGTGCGGAATTGGTTTAATCATACTTATTGAGGGTAAGGAAATATTTTAACTATATTATTGGAGTGTCAAGAATTAATTTGTTTATATTAGTCGAGTGTGTGGAATTAATTTAATTATACTAGTTGAGTGTGTATATCGGTTTAATTATATTAAACGAGTGTGTGATTAGTTTAATCTCTAATTAATCGCGTGTATAATTAGTTTAATTATATTAATTGAGTATGTCGAATTAGTTTAATTATATTAAACGAGTTTGTGATTTATTTTATTTTATTAGTCGAGTATGTGGAAACAGTTTAATTTTATTAGTGTCGATTTAATTTAGATTAAACGAGTGTGTGAATAATTTAGTGATATCAATCGAGTGTGTGGAATTATTTTAATTATATTAATCGATTGTGTTCCTCCATAACCTGCAGAGATCCGCCGATATGGGCCTTGGTGTTCCATTCAACATCGCATCGTATGCATTGCTGCTTGCGATGGTCGCCCATGTCACAGGGGTATGTATGATATGACTTCTAGACCAATACAAACGTGTCTGTGGTTAGATATTTATGACACGCCGTCTTGTGTCACAAAATATCATTCTACTGTACTTGCCGGTGTTTTATTTTGTTGTTGCGGCCGATCTTTGTCGTGCGATGTGTTTACAGAATTATGTACGCGGCCTGGATATTGACCTATTCACACTGCTGTAAACCTCTAAAGCCTTAAACCCTAAACCTACAATCATATTGGCATGTGTAGTCACTGTATTGTGCAATGCTGGCGAAGCGATGCTATCGGACGTTGTCACCGGTTTGTGTGACAGGGTTTAGGGGTGACGTGACATGACTTTAATGATGTCACCCCGTATCTCCCGGTGCCGTGTGACAGCGGTTAGCGGTTTATGGTTTTTGTGTTTAGGGTTTAGGTTTATCATGTGATCGCACAAACTAGCTGACTTGTTTGTGAGCGTTGGGCTCAGTACAGTTGGGTGTCATGATATTAATGACGCCACTCCGTGTATTCTCGTAAGTTCGTAAGTTTCGTGGCGTGGGGCTATCGATATCGTCGTCCATTGTCACAGTGGTGTTTGATGAATTATTGCTCCGTGCGAAAGCAGACTCAAGTAGCAAATTGTATTCCGATGTGGGTACAAAGGGGTGGAGAGAAACTCGAGTTTGCTTGCTTTCCCCATGCAGGCTACCTAAACTAGAACATTACTATTAGCTTTCTATTCTAAGTTAGATATTTCTTCGAGTATATGGCGGTTTATTCGGTGTTGGTTGTGTTTCTCATTCGACAAGGCTATACAGCATACATCAGTCTCAATTCGTGTCGATGTAAGCATCCCCAACTGGTGTCTGTGCCGTCTGAGTGTTGCATGTACGACTGTTTACTCTACCTTTAACCTTAAGAGCTGTAATGCAAGTAGCACACATGTTTCAATATGCGTATGGCATCGGAATTCCCAAAGTATCATCACTAGCGCCACTGGTAGATGAGTTAGACCGGGTAATTATCAACGCAATATGTACTCATTTATGTCTTCCTAACAATCGGCTGCATGTCACTGTATCGTTGCTATTCTGCTACCAAGAAATACGAATACGTATGGCTTATTAAAAGCTGAGAAACAAACTGAGAAGCATGTGTGTGATGACACCGATAAGCCTGACAGCGCTTGTATTCGCCATCGGGATACCAGCGGAGACCATTTTTTTTTATATTCAGTGTCCTGTTTACACAAATCGATCTCTTCCCAACCTACTCTTCACAGCTCAAAGCGGGCGATTTTGTGCACACCATTGGCGATGCACACGTGTACTGCAACCACGTGGATGCCCTCAAGGAACAGCTCGGACGCACACCAACGGTGTTTCCCAAGTTAAGAATCAAACGAACCGTAACAGACATAGACGATTTCAGATTTGATGATTTCGAATTGGTCGACTACAAACCGCAGAAGACCATCAAGATGCAGATGGCTGTGTAGGCTGCACAGTCCGACGAGCAGTTTAAAGACCCAGACAAACAAAATATTTAAACAATAGGAAATTTAAGCCGATTTTCCGAAATGAGATTAAAGCGCAATTCTACTAATTGTGCAAAAGAAATTAAGGACGAATTTTACGGCATAATTCAATAATAGCAGTATTTAAATGAAAATCGATATGCACAAGGGGTGTGGAGAGATGGGTGCTCGCTGTTTTTTGTCTGTCAAGCTTAATAGTACATCAAAATGGAAACTGACAAGACATTGTTGCTTTGACACCAATTGGAATACGCACAAAAACCATAATTTGTCTGTCGTGCTCTAACACCAATTGGAATACGCACAAAAACCATAATTTGTCTGTCGTGCTCTAACACCAATTGGAATACGCACAAAAACCATAATTTGTCTGTCGTGCTCTAACACCAATAGGAACTGATAGATCAGTTTTACACTAATTAGAATACTCACAAGACCTATTCTAATACTCGCAAAAACCAAAATATGAGAAAATAGAGTTTTTGTACCGATTGTGATACAAGCATCAAAATATGAGAAAATTGGTTTTATACTCTGATACTCGAAAAAAATTGAATATGATCTACACCAATTATAATACAAGGATCAACCCTGTTCAGTATCAACCAACTGGTCCTGTTGTAATGGTATAAGCTGAATTCCCGACCACTCACTTGGCTCCATCACAGGTTCAATCTCCACTTCAGGTATAATGTATATGTCATCATTATCCAGGTCAGTCTCACGTCTGGATTGACATTGTAGCCAACTGTCCTCCCTACTGGGAATTGCTTCATCTAAAGCTGGTGTTTCTTCACGTAACGACTCACTCATAAACAGTGGTCTATCCCACGCCTCATCTAAAGTACCATGGGTGGACTCATCTGTTGACTCGTCTGGGTCTTGTGAAGGCATGCACGGTGGGGCCCCACACTAGCCGTCGTATCACTGAGCGTATTGCCCGGCTTCTTGACGCTATCTAACACGATATCTGTGAGCGTCGCAAAATCTTCTGTTACTTCAGTAAAGGGTTCTTGATCACCACAAGTATGTGCAACTCTATTTTGTATGTGTATCAGTAAAACTCAACAGTAGCAATACTAACAGTACAATCTGAACTTACACAGGGATATGTACCTACCTGTGACTGACTCGCATCATCTACTTCCTATTCTTCCAGTACTGGTTCCCGCGCAGCCATCGTTCGTCTAAAACTCTCCCGAAGAGTTCCTCTTGATCGTACTTCCCTCGTTTCTCGTAGATAAATTCTTAACGCATCACCACACTCTGTGTCATTGACTACTTCTGAAGCTGCCCGTGATTGAGCTCGGGTAACAACAGCCATACATGGTACCACAGGGCCAGGGAGGCTTCTAATTCAATATGGACGCCCAGCAAAGTGAATTCTGCGCCAGAAAGGAAGCGGCATACACTGTATCGGTTCAATACAATCACTTCGTAGAAGACCAATTAATGTACACCAGGTTGGGGCTCGTAGCGGATGTTCATTGTAACCAATACATGTACCCCTAATAGGAGGAACAATTATTGGTATATCTACAGGCATACTGTAATACTTGGAGAGCCACGTAGCACCAGTCCATACAGGAACCACAACAATGGCTTTTGCATCCGCAAGTGAACTAGGACAGTTGAGAAACTTCATAATGAGATCCCACGGAGAACACACCCGACAGAATACATGTTCGAAGAGTGTGAAAAGGCATCTCCACCCCAGATTCCACCACCTGGTTCGTCAGAAGCCTAGTACAACATCTGCTTGTTCTTACTATTCGCAGATAAATCCATCTGCACCCCTGATCACTTTTTTATAGTACGTGTAAACATTTAGAATTCAATCGCTGAGTAAGTTTGATCTGATTAACCCTATACTATAACCATAAACACCACCTTAAGAATAACAACTTCAATGGCGTCAGTTCCAAGTCTAGAACATGATAATTGTCCATAAAATTAGGCAGCTTCGACGAGTAGAACTCCACAGAAAATCCGTAATTCGTGTCATATAGAGCCAGCCCATTTCATTTATTCCATACCGCTGGGGCCATAATCAAGTGTACATGCATGAGCTCTAAGGACAGCTCCTTACTTTTCTTAGTTCGAATAGTCTGAGTTTTCCATGTCAAAAGCGGCTCAGTATGCGGAACGTTATGCTGTTCTAGATACTGGATAAGTCTATCCTTAGCATTACTACACTCTTTCTGGGCATGTCGGAATGCTTCAGAGAGTGCCTGCTTTATAAGCTGCTGCCGATCCATTTCCTCTTGCCATCACTCTTAGTCTCCTCCATATGAAGCACTTCCTTAGGTGCTCTTCTAACCATTAATGTAGCTCTTCATGTTGTTCCCAAGAATAAAGTCATATATCACTAGTTAATAGCCACATGCATCTATTTTTAAGCTACTTGACATTTTTAAGTTCTTGTCGAAGTGAACACCCTCCCTAGTCTGGTTGGTTAATGGCACCAATGATTGGCTCAAGCATGATATACTGCATGACCACTATGCCAGCTTGCAAACGAACGTTAACAGTTCGTCTTTGTTCGCCGGTAGGCCTATGCTCGCAATATCTTGCATGCGTTCGTCATCTATTGTGACGAAGCCATCATACCACAACCGACTATAAAAATTCTTTCAGCACATGCATAGGATATGCAATCTGCGTCTTAGCTGCATTAAAATTCGTCTCGGAACATTCAGCTGAATTCACCAGTTGCCAAATTGCACGCCAATGGGCCTTATCCACAGCAATCTCAACATCCGTCATATCCTCAAAGTCTGTCAACGCAGGGAACCCGGTTATATAGACTTCTCATGATGTTCATGCAGTTGTTTTTTTACTAGGAGCATCAGCTGCTTATTTTCATTTACATTTGTCGTACACGTAACGCCATCGTGAACAAAGAAGATAAAGCCTTCCACATCACAGTAGTTGTACCTCATTTCATTGCCTATATTGTGCAGGTACTACCGCTAGACCAACGCCGACACCAATACGTTCATACACCTGGCCATCTCTACCAAGGAAACGAGCATTGTGGCGGTCTTCTTCCGCTATAGTACATTGGGTTAAGCCATTCGCATCATCTGTGATAGTCGAACGCCATGCTATACAGATTGGACGTCGCAAATATTCTTAACTCGGCATATTAGCCATATCACAAATGCTCCACTGATCAAGACCAATGTATGCTTGACACATGCGGTAATCCTCGACATTCTTCTTAGGTGCAGTTTTCACCTTCTCAGCCAGTGTAAATGGTGCAAACCAACCTCCTTCGTCTTTACATTTCCTGACGACCCCATGTTTAATCTCAGCCTCGCATTTCCGTTGTTCAATACCAATCTTTACAGAATTTTTAGTCTTACAGCACTTCGCGCTGGAATAGCATCTGGTCGAGTTGGAGTCCTGAAGCCACGTCCTCTCGAAGACGTAGGTTTTGTCTTATCATATGCGCAGCGATTCCACAGTGCTTTCATAATGTCCAATTCATCCTATGGTACATGAATACTTACCGCTATATGATCTTAGGTAAGTGATGTCATAAAAGTAAACCAGTATATCTTCTTCTTTGAATGGAAGTATTTCCATGTTGTATATAGTCTCAGGTACCTTATATATCGAAAAGACCACTGTACTGGGGACCTTTGCTGTCAGACGAAAAGCTGATGGGTCACTTGTCTGATCCCACATTGGTTCTAATAGATTGTTACTCTGGGCGATAATTCCCGGAATTGTACCTATTCACATTAGCACTTTCCACACCTTATTTGCTGTTAAACTGATAAGCTTCCTGTGTTTCAATATTATTTTTTAGCAATTATAAATGAAACTTCCACCGTAAACTGTGGCGAAACTCTCACTGTACCATCATAAGCTCGTAGCCTTTCCCTAGGAATCTCTATCTGTTCAAGAGACTTTTTGAAACACGGACTGATATAGTATATATGGCATAGAACCTGAATCACAGTAAAGCAAAATATCAGGCTCGCCTATATGCACACGTTCTGCAGGTCCTTCTATAGATAGTCGCTTATCATGGTGTGTACCACCAGTGCCAGACGCTGCTGCTACCGAAGCATTTTTGATAGCTTGTGGGCAATCGGCACAGGAATTGCTACCTCCTTAATGTATGTGCAACACCACTTCTACCAGGTGAACGAAAGGCCCTTTTTTTACCCAGAGAATGAGAACGATCGTCACGCTGTGGTGTGCGACCTCTCTTCTCACCACGGTCACCATCACAATCCTTATTCCCCAAAAAACGAGGCACGACCGAATGCACTGATCGTTCACGGCGACTACGATCTTTATCTCGTTCCCTTCCACGATCAGCATATGTTTGACTTTTTATACTTACGATCTCTGCCCTCACAACGCAAAGAAATGATAAAGGCCAGAGATGCATATGCACCAATGGTTGCACATATCATAACCAACAAAGAATTTGTCTCTGAATACCGGAAAGTTATCCAACTTTTATTGCTCTCTAGTATGCCTGGTATCATCGTTCGCTTTCTAAGATGCTGCCCTCAGCGCATCCCCGCGCTTCTTGGCTAGCTCACTGAAGCTCCCATCGCTTGATTCATATATTCCTTGGTACGTCGAAAAACGCTGTTTATCTGTAGAAGGGGTCCTTCCAACCGCATTGGACGATGGGAGTCTTGAAGATACACCATTTTCTGGCTTCTTTGGTCCAGGCGTCGGTGTCTTAATGTATGCGGACTCATGTGTGGATAAGGCTGATACACCTGTTTGGACAAAATCAGCACTGTCAATATTCTGCTCAGATACAACTACAGTTCGGTACACAGAGCAGGATGGTCAAATGACAGGTGTCATGAGGTGTCAAATAAGTTCACTGAAGTAGGTCATGCATTTATGACTTACGTGTGACTACATATGCATAGGAGATGTACATATAAAACCCTCCGTAGAGGTGTAAATAAAGTCACTCTCCGCTCAGTGTATTATGGTTTTATATGTTTAAGCAGGTTATGGGCCTATTACCATATAAATAACCTAACAAATACAGAACGCGAGTATAGTCAACATATCCCATTCGACGTATACAGAGACCATCGACGACATTCTTGATCGCAAGGTACCAAAATCACGCGTATATATACAATAACATACCGTCATGGGTATTGTAGAAATCTTTACCATCCCCGACTCCTACTCTTCTCTTGAAGAAACACACGAGTTTGCTGTCAGAAATTGGCCGGGTTGTCCTCGATACGCGACTCTTAACCAAGCCAATAAATCACTACACAGCATTCATAACCTATGTCAGGAGTTCGGGTACAACCCAATCGGTATATCAGTATCAACTGGTCGTCTCCTAGCACACCTATCCTGCTCAAGAGCGACAATCGCCCTTATTCGAGCTCGTGCAGACGCCAACGAAGACGAGGCCAGAGAGTTAATAGACGAAGAGTACGCGCTCAATCAAAAACGTGATGCACGTGTCCAGACAAAACGCAAACTCGACGTACTCAACGTGCGCTACTCTAGTACAAAGGAGAAACTCGCAAGATGCGAAGCTGAACTCAACAATACACGGGCTCAACTCCACGAAGCAGAGATATATATAGGCACATACAAGAAACCAAATCTCCGTGCTGCTGAACTCCAAGGCGAAGTGCATGGCTTACGTGCGGCGCTCAGTGAGGCCCAACGACCACAATAACAATCTCAACATGGACAACAGAGCCAACAGAGCTAACAGAGCTCCCAAATCTATTGCTGAGCGTTATGGAATCACTCCCATAGAGCTTGCACTCGATATTCGGGATACACCAAAATACAAAGATGATTACAATGGTGAGATACTCTAGGGTTGGCAAAACTTCGGCAACTGGATCACTGGGTTACGATGGAGTTAGAACACTTTGGTGTACTCCATCGCTGTCTTCCAATGTGCAACGAACGCAACGCAGAAGGGGGACCAGACCCAGCAGCAGACTCGAAAAGTCGCCGTATACTCGTACATTCTATCAGCGAACCCCTGCTCAACTCGGTGTACAAAAATTACACGATAAAAGCACCACACGTCTTCGTTGATTACATTTGTGTCACCGCCAATACTGGCAGTCATGGAAAATTCTGTGGCGCACAGCAGAACCTCACCAGCTTTAAGTCAACGGGCTCGTCTGATACATCGCTACAAGCTTTGGAGGTGATTTGCCAACACTTGGTCGATGTCGGTGAGAACATCCCAGACAGGTATCTGAAATGTGCCTTACTCTATATTCTCGACAACAACTACAAATCACTCCGTGCGGACATATTCAATCACAATCTGGATGTCCTCACGATCGGCGAGGTCTATAAAAAGGTGCTCAAGTTTGCAGGTAAAACCCAACTCGATTCTTCGACGCCAGCATCTGGTCTAATGGTTATCAAACCCCCTGCTGAACGCATGTCAAATCCACAAACAAGGATGCCAGTAATGGTCACCAGAATACTTCCACTCAACGACGCAAACGTCCCAACTGTCCTCTCTGTGGCAAGGCAGAACACAGCATCTTCGGGTGCCCTGATTCAACCTGCCGTCGTTGCGGTTCAACTGACCATAAGGGAAATGAATATCCTATCGACCGTTCTACACTATCATGCTCCAAATGCGACAAAGGGGGCCACAATGATACAGCATGCGTGTCTAAGTGAAGCCACGGGGTTCCTCGAGGCGACATCAGCACCAGGTACGATATGAATACGAATACTCCCAAGGACACTGATAAGCATACTTTTAAGGACACATATAGTCCTACAGAACTCAACAGGCATAATCCCAAGGAACCATATATTTCCAACAAAGCGGACACAGACACAGTCACAGAACGCTATCGCATACAAAGTGCAATATACCAAGATGGGCCCACAGCACCATTATACTTAGCCGAGTCTCTCACTGTTTCAGGCGATATGATTCATATAAATAACACTCCCAATGGTGTTACATATATCCAACACGGCAACTTCATAGTTGAATTTCCGGACAAGTCTCAAATTACGCTGCACGAACGAGGCACGCTTCCGAGATTAGGCCAAGTACTTATCATGCCACAAGCAACCCAAAACAAAATACCTGTCCGATTAATGCAACGCAACGGTTTCGACGTCAACTTCCCCGCGCAAGCAAACGATACGTTACATACAGAGTGACACATCACAGATCCAACAGGCCGGAAGCATACCATCCCAGACGTGAGCGGACAATACAAGATTTCTGCCTGTCCAGCCCGCACCCTAGTCGAATGGCAAGACATTCTCGGTCACACCCACCCACGCAAAACAAGGCCAACCCTTACGCAAAACAGCATCGATATTTATGTAGCTAAAAGTGAGAACATAACCCTGATTTCTTTCAAAAACACGTCGTCGAACCATTCGGCGCAGTAGATATTGATTTATTTGCCTGTGCAAACAATGCATAAGTTGCTAACTATTGCGGTTTAGAGGAGGGTGCACCACTTCACGATGCCTATGCATAGTCCTAGAACCTAGTGAAAGTCCATCTATATGGGAACATACCGTTCACCAAAAAGCATTGGTTTGCCACACTCAACAAACTGGAAGCAGAAACCGGCATAGTTACTGTCGTATTTCCCTTAGCTCCCAAGAACAAGTGCTACCAATGAACACTGAAATAGCTACACTCGCATGTGGAAGTTGTACACACGACACCTACTATATTTTTTCGTATTGGCTCTGAAGTGGTTGGTCAACCGAGTGGAGATACATATGTGTTGCCCGTTTAGGTAATGCCAAACACGCCGTACCTACGACAGCTAATCTGCTCACGGCCCAAGATGACGTCCTCGCACACCCTACTGATGAGTGCTTTTGCTCTAACTGTGTATCCTGCAAGATGCGTCGTCGGCCCATTTCAAACAGACTCAAGGATCCTGAGACTCGGCCACCACCGGGTACTGTGTTTCATGTTGACCTCGAAACTGGCTTGACACCCTCAGCAACAGGCTGCACTTCTAACATCAAATACGTTGATGTCAACAGTATAATGCTCTTTCTTACCCACTCAAATCCAAGGATGAAGCCGCTAATATACTCAACATGTTTTATGCCAGGCTCGGAAACGAAAAACTCGCAAAGCTTGAGGAGTTGAAGTACGATAGAGGAGGAGTTCGTCTTTAAAGAATTCAAGGCAATCAATACTGTGGAAAACGTCAAAGTCCTATACACACCTACTGACTCGCCAGCACTTATGGTTCGGTGGAGCGTATGAATGGGATAATCGCGTACTTAATGCGTGGCTTTCTAGACCATTCCGGTCAGCCTGAAGAGATGTGGCCAGAGGCAATACGCCATGCAACACTATTACACAAAATATCAGTCGGAACGATCGGAATCCTGATAGTAAAATTGCTTGGGAGATCTTCTACGGCGAAAAACTCGTCAAACGACCCAAACACATGCACGTATATGGCTGCCAAGTGGCCTTCATCAACCAGGACCCCGAGAACAAACTCGACGACAGAGCCACACTTGGGGTGTATTTGGGTCACGACACTGACTCCAAGTATTTTGATGAGAGTATGATTCCCAGCGCCAAGTCGGGCCGTTTGTGCCACTCTAGAGATGTCAAGTTAAGCGAACGCGTCTTTCCATTTGGTCCAAAGTTGGGATAACACCCCTACCTTGCTTTACAACACTAGGGGACGACATAGCAACTATACGAAAACTAACACTGGCAATCACTGCAACAAAGCCAAATACCACCAACACTACCCCACCTTCCACCCAGGCTACCGACAACGATATACAGGGGAGATTCGGACGGCATCTAGTACTAGTTATGATGCCGACTCTGCTATTAGCTGTACAGATACCGATTCAGGCATAGATCCGGGGGAGTCCTCGCGCACTATATTTGATAGTAAAGCAAGCTCCAGTAATTCAGGGGAGGATCCATCTGTTGACACTGAGAGCACCAGCCCAACGAGCGCGAGCAACACACTGAGCAAGATACTGACTCGACAACAAATGTGAAGACTAAAACTATGGAAGACAGACAGTCACAATGCCAACCTTCAATCACACATCATAAAATATACAACGTCGAGAACGCTATGCGGGTTAATGTTGAAACTACGTACGACCACTGTTGTGCTAAATGAGCCTGACTTACCAACTAACATGCGTATGACCCGTACACGTGCCCGACAAATGAATGACCATAAAAAAGCAGTAGCCGACCAGCTCGACAGTATCCACAGTGCCACTAGTCCGACAGAAAGACGTGTGCGCTGGTCGACCGACATTGAGGATTCTGGGTTTACTGCCGAAAATATGACAACGATCACCGATGGCATTGTTCCTTTGAATACGTCTGGAAAGAAACTTCATCTCAAGGCCAAGCACGCCAGTTCACTTCAACATCTACGTCGCGCGAAACGACAGAACAAGGCAGACAAAGCCTTCCGCAGGGCTGCTATAAAACACGCCCTCTATAAAATATGCCCGCTCCAGCACAAACAAAGCCATCAAATCTCTATTTCAGCAAACACCATAACTCGCGCCCCGAGGCCGAACCACCCGACGACATACCAATACAAATCAACCCGACGCCACCACCATCATCCGGAGCCACAAACACTAACACCAAGCAAGATGGAATTATCGAAGAGCTATATAGGATATGCGCAGCAATTTACGTCAACCCACTCACCCCTAAATCCATCAAAGAAGCTCTCCGTGACGATGATACTGCTCTGTGGCACGAAGCAATACAACATAAGTTAGGCAGTCATAATAAGTCGGGCACCTACTACTTGCTCAAACCGGACGAAATGCCAGATGACGCCTTCAATATAACTAGCAAGTGGGTTTTCAAAGTAAAAATGATCGACGGGCTGGTGGATACAAAGCACGATTATGTGCACGTGGCTTCACGCAAAAACAGGGCGTTAACTACGACGAGACATTTGCTCTTACGTGCTCACACGAGACACTCAGGACGGCGTTTAAGCGGTGTCTGCACCATAAGGGTGACATGTCCAACAAATGGACGTTGATACTGCTTACTGTATGCTGACCTCGACGAACCAATTTATATGCGTCCGCCGAAAGGTTTAGCGGCGTTGGCCTCCCAGATGATTCAATCTTGGCCTTGAAGAAGAGCCTATACGACTTAAGAAAGTCAGGAAGTGCATCTGATCCTTGCATGTTCAAACCTCTCGTGCATTGTCTTACTATACGTTGACGATATTATTGTTTGCGGCAAGCGAGAAAGCGATGTACAACACTCTAAGGCCCCCCCAGCTATGGCTAAATGGACTAAGGATGCTGCGGAAAAGAAGGCGGAAAGTGCAAGTACTTCTTCTGGAAGTGGGGGAGCGATTGGTAGTGTAACTAAGTTTGTTGCACCCATACAGGAGTGACGGGGCAGCGTTATCAACGGTGGGGTAGATGGGTGTAGTACTAGGTTTTATGTCGATACTGGAGCAACACCTTCGCTGATAATCAAATCGTTGGCAGAACCCACTAACCTTACAATATCAGCATATAAAAGGGAGACCCTCAAAGGTGTAGATGGCATGGGGCAGTTAACGCCTATGGGAGAAGTTTATGCACGTATTCAGATGTTGACATGGAAAGGTGTCACGAAGGAGGAAGGTCTGGTACTTTAGGTTGTTGAAGAATTCCCCATGAACTGTAATGTTTTGGTAGGATATTTCATTTTACAAAAATTGCAATGGAATTTAGTATGGAAGAGTAGACAACTAGTACTCGTACCAATGACGGATCTAATGGAGGCAGCAACAGAGTTACAGGAATGTGCAATTTTGGGTGCTGTTACTCCGGAAAAGGAGGAAGAGGAAATTCCAGAGTTCATAAAATTAATGAGTAAAAGGGTGAACAGCAGAGTCAAGACTTACAGAGACTCTATGAAAAGTACTGTGAGGCTGAGTGGGTGACGTTGGACAAGGAGTATGAGGTTTGGTCTAAAGACAAAGATCCAGACTTAGACACTTTTGGTATCATATAATTGGGAGAGACAGCAGGTATTAAAAAACAGGAGGTGGAACAACTCATCAAGGACATAGAGAGTGTGTCTTATGATTCAGAACACCCGTATTTTATTGATCTGCCTAATCTAAAATTGTATGAAGAGGATGGTGCTGTTCCACAGTACAGTAGTTAGCATGATAAAGATGAGCGCAAGTTGGCAGCACTGGAGGTGGAAGTCAAGGTGTGGTTATCAGCTGGAATTTTAGAACCTATAGCTAAGTCAGAGTGGTGCTCCGCGCCGCATATGGTGTATAAGACACCAGGGGTTGAACCCGTCACTGTCGACGATTGGCGATGTTGTATTAATCTTAAGCGGGTTAATGGGCAGTTGCGAGCAGTGCCATTCTATATCCCTACTGAAAGGGATATCTGGCTCAAATCAAAGAAAAAAAAACCTATATTACCTCATGTGACCTAGGACAAGGTTTTTACCAGTTCCGCATCGCTAAAAAGTCCAGGAAGTACCTCAGCTTTATTACGCCCTTTGACCGTTTTGCCTTCGTAGGAATGCCGTTTGGCTTGAAGGAAGCCTCTTGGCGATGTCAGCAGGGCTTGGGGGAAGTTTTTTCAGGCCTGAAAGATATAATAGGGTGCACTGATGATATAGCTTTTGCGCACGCTGACGCAAAGGAGCATTGGGATTGTCTCCGTTCCTTTGTGAGCCGTTGTGTCCGATATCGCCTGCAGCTAAGAATATTCAAGTGTGCTTTTGCGCAGTATCACAAGCCGGTGGTAATCATTGGTCATTTGGTGGACTTCAGAGGATCCACTATTGATCCTATACGTATGCAAGCATTGGTCTCTTTAGCCCAGCCGGCCAGTAAGGACTTGTTAAAGTCCTGGTACCATACGGCAGGGTGGTGGTCGGACTACATTCCGAACTTTGCACGCTTGTTGGCCCCATTGTCTCGTCTTCTTAAGGATGATGCTGTCTTTACGTGGGGGTTTGTGGAACGAGCTGCTTTCGTCCAAGTGGGTGAAGCTCTTAGGTCGTGTGCGGTCTTGGTGGAACCTCGGCCGGAGAAATAGCTAGTGCTCTTTGCGGATGCTTGTGAAGGCGTTGATGTCCGAGGAGTACTTGCTGTTCTGCAGGATGTCTGCTATTTGCCAGTGAATTTTTTTTTTTGCTTCGCGGTATGATGCAGCCCAAAGAAATTATGATATTACAGATAAAGAAGCTCTGGCTGTGGTCTACGGGTTTTGGAAGTGTTCTCGGATCTTGCGGCGGGCTCTGTTGCCGATCTGGGTCCAAACGGACCACTTGCCCCTTGTTTCGATGTTTATAAAGCCAAGGGAGTCGTTCGCTGACGATGTTCGTGGTCGTCGCATGGGTCGTAACTATGATGTTGTTCGTGACTATGATGTCCGGAATACACATGTAGCCGATGTTGTGAATCCTGTTGCCGTTGTCTTGTCCCGACTGTGTGTTCAAATTGACCCCATCATTCGAGTCAAGAACCACCATAATATGCTGCTAGTAACTTTTAGTGATCCTTTGGTCCGCATGCTAGACACTCAAGAATATCAGCTGGCATCGCCGTACTTAAGGAAAGCTGAAAAATTGTGGGGTCCGCATTCGACGGATTGCTTTGCTACTACAGGCACTAATTACTGCCGTACTACTGTTCGCCTTCTCTTGATGGTGGCGTCTTCAGTCGCTTTTGGGGGGATCCGACAGTGAACTGGTTTATAAACCCCACATGGACACTTTTGCAGGCTGTCTGTGCTAAGGTGGATGCGGATGGGGCGCGGTGTACGGTGTGTTGGTTTGCCCCTATTGGCCCAAGACGGTGTGGTATTCTGCTATGGTTTCTCCTCATGCTGATGATCCCATTATTGTGCCACGAGTGCATGGGGTATTCAACAGGCATGGTAGGGTGGAAGCTGGCCCTCCGCTTTTCGTCACGCTTTGTAGGCTGGGGCCACGTAATTTTGTGGTTTCCCCTGGGGTCTGGGCCCAGTGTGAGCAGTTGTCACTAATGTCGGATACTGTGAGTGTTCCGCAAGCACCGGTAGCACTGCGTGCTTCACCTCATGTGGTGTTTACACCGACGGAGAGTACCAAACCGGTGCGGTGTTGGGCGTTTCCAAACGTGGCGGCCGCATACATTGGGTCGTGTGTGTCGATGCCTAAGTTGTCGACCACTGTTCTCGAGCGAGCTGCCTTTCGCAAGTACGTTTCTACTCAAGGGGTGTTGGCCAATGTACTTACTCGAGCGGGGCGTGTGAAAGCTTCATAATTGGAAACTACAGTAGTGGATTTGGTGCCATCTGGGGTGACGGTGGGTGAGCAACTCGGGTATCCGGTCCAGTTGAGTGATGACCTTGGGCAGGCGGGTGTTGGTCAGGCTGTAGCGTCTGATCCTGTACTTCCTTCTACACACTTGTTGCTGGAGGCATCTCCTGCAGAGGTCTCCTTGGTTGGTGAAGTAGGGAAGCCTACTGTGCCTGTAGTCGAGGGTGATAGCATACTGTTGTCTGTGGGTAAACGTGTGAGTAAAGATCTCGAGACTTCGTCGCATATGGGGGGCGGTCCAGGGGAGTTGGCCCTCGCACCGCCTAGGAAGCGTCGTCGTGCAGCGCCTTTGGCAGTTGAAGCGTGGCCTATTTTGGAGGCATGTCCATCGCGCTCTCTATGGGGTGTCCATTTCACAGGTCCTCAATTAGTTAAAAGGCTCTTCAGTACGTGCATGTCACTTATGCACATGCCGCACAGTCCAGGCTTCAGCACGTGGTGCATGATGTCATTGGATGGACTGGGTTGCGACCTCAGATTGTAATAGCCGGGCCTCCACATTAGACTATGTTATAAACGTACTCTTAGGCAGTACGAGGAACTTAAGTTTCCTAAATGGGTTTTAACGGTTTTATCAATTAATACCTTTTCCATTTTACATATCAGATATTTGGACAAGGCCATTGAAAGGCCCCAGTAAAATACCAATCATAAGATTTGGTCTAGTTCTATTAATAGAACTATATATGTATTTTCCAAATCTTTTTATATCTGAATACTTCGGTAGCGAGATGGCTCAACCGAATATAGGTTTCTAGGGACTATTAGCATTACCTAGTTTAACCTCCGTTCAGCCAACCAGATGTGCCAGTCTTATGAAGGCTATGTCGGTAATTTTTGATAAGTGGCAAGATATTGGTTAATGCAATAACTATGGACATCAAGAGTATCTTTTTCTTTTTACTTTTCTTTTTTTTTAAAGACAGGATTTTATGAGTCTCTCGGATTCGCCCCTACGAAACATACCATAGTTCCTAATAGAGCGACAACGAAGCACTAAATAAAATCCCTTCGGCGAACACAGTACTGGGAGGATTAAATTTTGGGCAATGTCTCAGCCTCACAATCCCCGAGAGTATTGCTGTTTTCACGAGGCATACCTAACTTTACTACAAGACTCATTCCGTTTATTTATTTCGAATTTAACTATACTTAGACTTAACCTAAGCATTTAATTACTCTAAGGCGTTAATATCGCCTTGATAGACCGAAACTTACACATTATAAAGTTAGCAAAGGAATTAATTACTTGACTACTTAAACGTAAAGGTAGATAACTACCACGAAATTTTTCTTAAGCACAGTCATTCCTTAAGAGAATAAGACAGAAGTCATAAGTTAAGATTTTGACAAAGAAAGACAATGCGCCTAAAAAGAAAAGCAAGGCCGAATGTAAAAAGATTGAAAAAGAAGCTGCTAGAAGCAAACCACAGCTGCTGCCGATACGTCTAATTGCACCGTAGCCGAAGCACTTGTCTCCGACAATAATAGTCAGGACAATGCCTCGGATAAGGATTTAGCCACTCCGATTAAGAAAACTACTCCTACAGATAGAGCCCGAGGGCCAACTATTGCCTCAACTTCGAAGCTTGCATTTACGAAGCCAAGAAATGAGACAAGGGACACATCTCAAGACGCCCCAACTAATTCTTCTGACGAAACTCAGAAAGAAAAGTCCCCAATTATAGGGGTCAAAGACGATTTTCAGAAGGTACCTATACCGGAACCAGAAGAGGAGGCAAGCTCAAGTGGCAAACCCGATTCTACGTCCGAGACCACTGAACCAACGCGCATAAGTAAGCTAATTACTGAAAACACTGATCTTAAGAATCAGTTAGCCGCACTTATAAAAGGGATGACAGTTGAACATGTAGATCGAATGTATAGATCAGGAAAACATACACAGCACTTACGCGAGCATGTTTCTCCGGGCACTACTGAAGCCCTAGAGAAGTGGACAGAACGTCGACTGGCAATTACGCCCGAAAAGCGTAAAGGCCTGAGCGCTACACCTATGACAGATGAGCCTGATGTGCTCAGCATATCTATACCTTACGGGGTACTACCACCAGAACTTCAGGCTAATTACTCGTCTGTTGTAACACCCGGCCATGGGTCGCCCGTCCTTGAGGGTATTATAGACCCAGAGGCAGGTAAAAATACTCCGCCACCTTTGCCCAACTGGGATGACAATCGTCGGAAACCAGTTAAGACTGGGTATGTTATCCAGACGCATGAATCACTCAAGATTATAATACCAACTACTATCCGAGGAACAAAGCACCAAAAGGCCTCGACCATGGACTTTACAAGGGGTAATAAACACTCCCGTAAACGTGTTAACGATGTCGAATTTAATCGCTTCGACCGCACCGCATTACACCAGCCCGCAGAGAATTTACACTATGACGAGGTGACCGAATTTAATAAATCGGTCGACGATTACACCATTAAGGTGGAAATTGCCTATGACGAGCACCGTGCTGATGACGTATCATATTATGCTAATATGATCGCGATCAAGCAGAAGCGCATCGATCGGCTACTTCAGGCCCAACGTGGACAAGACCACAGGGATAACCAAAAGTACAAGGGACAGATCAGTCGACTTAAGTCGAACTGGGATGCCAACAGCAAGCAGGTCGAGTTTATGAACAAACCTGGTATAATGCTCCTCCTAAGGCTAAGTCGGAGGCGTCCGTTGCTATTTCAAACGGCACGCCATCGACTGGTCCTTGTACAACCGGAGCTTGTTGGACTGCGTGCTTGAGCGCTTTAAATGCGTCATCACACTCTTTAATCCACAAGTCTCCTAGTTTACCTTAGTGACAACTTAAGTGTCCAAAAGGTTTAAGGTAAACAGCTAAGTGTGGTACTCCATCTGAAAAGAAGTTTACAAACCCACACATGCTGTTCACATCTCTTCATGTAGTTGGTGTTCGCCAATCTAACAGGTGTTCCACCTTACCGAGGTCGATTTTAATACCTTCCCCAGATATATGGTAGCCTAAGAGCTGTTTTTCGCTTATTGCGAAGTGGCATTTCTTCTCGTTAATCTTGAAGTTTTGCTCGTTGAGTCTCTTAAGGACTCGTCTGACTAATGCGACGTGTTTGCCGCTAGTTTTAGAGAAGATGACTATGTCATCTATATAGACTTGCACGTTAGGCATGTCTGCAAAAATTTCCTCCATTACTTGTTGGAAGAATGCTGGTAAAGTGTGCAACCCGAAAGGTGCACCTCCGAACCTGTATTGTTTACCTTTCCACGTAAAACTAAAGTATTTACGATGTGGTTCATATATCGGCATTTGATGGTATCCTTGTGTAAGGTCTATAGTTGTAAATACTGTAGCACCTTCCATCCTTCGCAGTAGCTCGTTAATACGAGGTAAGTGAAAGCTATCGGTAATAGTTTATTTATCGGACTCATATCTAAACATACTCTGACTTTCTTAAACGATCCGTCAGAGTTATGTTGGTCTACAGCTAGCAGTGCCAAGTTAACTGGCGTCTGTTGATAGTTAACTTCTATCACTCCATCAGCTAGCCATTTCTCAACTTGTTCTTTTACCACAGCCTCGTGTCTCCAGGATACATAGTTCCTTGAGGGACACTTTAACTGTGTAAAATCTACCTTGGTTAAGTCAAGGCTGATATATCCGTCGTTAAAGCGGAATTTTTGCCCAATCTGTGATATCTATTTTCTTACTAACAAGAATCAGATCCATGATTTTGTTCGCAAAGTCAGGTATTAATGCCTTGACTGTGTCTGATGGGGGCTTATATGGATTCAGACAGTTATCTTCTGATTTATTCTTTAATAAATCTATGTTAGTTGGTAGACCAGTTACGGTTATACCTAGAGTGAGTAAATCACTCATTCCGACTATAATGTCGTACTTCTGTGACATTTTAACTATCACAGCTTGATTAGTTATACTCCTATCATCGGTCAGGGAGATTTTAACATCTGTGGCCATGGTATCACATTTAGCAGTTTCATCATCAGCTAAAATGAGGTGAGTTGTTTGTGTTCTCTTTTCGATATCTTTCATTAATGCAAAGCGATCGAATATATATGAAATTTCTGAACCAGGATCAGTCAACGCAAGGATTTTATTTCCACTGCAATATAGAGGGATTGTTACACGCTCATCTAAAGAGTCGTTGTATTGTCTGTGTAACGATTGTACCTGGTAGTACCTTCACTCCAACTTAAAGTTGGGCTTTCTGTCACAAGACGTAGTGTGATAGCCATTGGTCTTCTCACACTTGTTACACTTAGTAAGAAAGTGTGTACAGGTGGATGCATGTCTACCATTCCAATTACCGTTAGGGGTTAACTGGTACATGTCATACCCACACTGTGCGTCGGCACATTTCTTAACCTCCTTAAATGGAGGTTCCATGTCCTTCGCTCCCGCGCGTGCCCGTTTATAGGTCGCGTGGATAGAGTGGATAGAGTGGAGTCGCGAGCACGTGTATGTTGGGGTCTCTCGTTTGAGGTCTGCCTGGATACACACCCGTGATCGGTGTGCTCCCGCGGCTTCTTAACAGCCGCTTTTCCCTTCGATGTTACTCAGTGTGCGGGGGAAAGGGTGGGTACACTATCATAAAACTGTTCCCACGTAAGTCGGGATAGATAAAATTTTGTATCATGTCCCTTGTCTCGAGCCTCAGTAGCGTATTTACGGCGCAACTCGGTGTACAAACTTTCACGGTCGTTGTTCCCTATGTTATTACCAAACACATGCATAACCAGGAACTCGTACCATCGCTGCGCTTTGTCCTTTGTTATATCTGGACGTTTAAGGTCGGCATCAAGTTTCAGAATATAACTCTGAATAGGAGCTTTCTCAACTGGTTCAGTTAAGATTGAGCTCAGACCTGGACTTCACATGTCCTTGCTTAATAAGGACGTAACCAACCAACACACAGATGGCCAGTCACGACAAGTGCAGGATCAGGTAACTTGTTCCTGTAGGGTCAAACGACTGCATCAAAACAGAACTCCATTGCTGGGGAGCGATATCATACGTCTCCAGCATGACCGTAAACGCATTAAGCGTACGGGTTAGCGTGTCGAGGTCATGGTTGTTTATAAACTCGACCTGCTTACTGTTGGCATCCCAGTTCGACTTAAGTCGACTGATCTGTCCCTTGTACTTCTGGTTATCCCTGTGGTCTTGTCCACGATGGGCCTGAGGTAGCTGATTGATGCGCTTTTGCTTAATCGCAATCATATTGGCAAAATATGATACATCATCAGCATGGTGTGTATCATGGGCGATTTCTATTTCAATGGTGTAATCGTCGACCAATTTATTAAGCTCGGTCACCTCGTCAGAGTGGAATTTCTCTGCGGGCTGGTGTAATGCTGTGCGATCGAAGCAATTAAATTCAACTTTATTAACACGTTTACTGGTTTGTTTTTTACCCCTTGTAAAGTCCATGGTCGGGGCCTTTCGGTGCTCTATTGCTCGG